CAGAAGTTAAAAGGCTAACACGTCTCATGGGCACAGTTTCAGCTAACTCGGTGCGCAAGCGTATTTTATTCCTGCACAATTCTGTTTGTGGATGTGCCCTATTCCCCATTTAGACACGTTAAAATTTACTGTCCCCTACTTCACGTGAACGCTCGACATGACCCCTGAGGAGTATGACAATGATTGCGAGTTATAACATGCCGGGCCATCAGTAACCTCACTTTGAACAATCCGCAGTTTATTCGGAAATGATTTAACTGACGCCAGCGCCGCGTAGCTTTCGGTTCTGTTGCAGAGATTTTACCACTGCATGCTGACCCAAGCATACCGAGGTATTAGTTATAGTTTACCATTAGTGTGATAGCAGGAAATTAAAGAATAGCGTTACCATGGCACAAACGTTTTCTGTGGACAGTGCCTTATAGTTTAGCGGGATGGCGTTTACGTGCCCCAGCTGAGACGGTAGCACCACCTATCGGAAGGTGAGTAAGTTAAAGAACAGCTAAAAGGAAAAGAAAACTAGAATGCTTGCCTGTGTCACCAGGCTAAGCAATGTCCCAAGTTTTTCTAGCAATAATAAAAGTTAAGAAATATTAACACTGTCCAAACGCGAAAACATTTATGTTTCAGACTTATTTACATCAATCTTGTAGTTAGGCTAAGAGACGTTAGAAACAAGAAGCTATCTCAAAAACTACGCTAACTTATCTATAACACTCGATGATCGAAGCTAAGTGAAGACAAACGAAGTCATTTTAAACAGTCATTTATGGCGAATGACAAATCTTTCAACAACTACGCCGAAATCCCTTCAAAGTGTGCATCCAAAACCACTGCCATGTTCTCATGTATACTCCACTGCCATGTTCTTATGTATACTAAGTATACCACGCTAATACGGTAACATTAAATTTGAAAAATACCGTGTGTACGGTGAGCGGTACAGGTCACGTACGTTACTGCGCATGTGCACTTAAATCCCGCTATCCCCATAAGCCCGCCATCCCACTAAGCCTGGTAAACTATAACTGCATATTATCTCGACAAGAGCACGGAGCGTTTAACGGCTCACATTAGTAACACCAGCCCAGGCCAAGCTGCTGAGTGTTTAAGTTAAGCTTGCCGACTGTACATCATGGCAAAACAGCGAGTAATTAGTCTCAACATATCTTACTAGTGGTCTGTCCTTTTAACACTAGTGTTAGTACTATGTCGGACCATAAGATACCTTAGAATAATTGACAAAGCTCCATAGGCCCACAATCTGCACACAACTACTCAATTTACGAAAAGATGTCGATACGGCTAGTGCGAAACAAAAAAGTGGCATAGGCATCTTTTTGTTGACTACTTCACATCAGTTTCCCACGATGCATAGGATATGCCACATTTTTTTTTTTACTGTCAAAAAACTTGTGAACAAAACCAGTTTGTTCCTAATGCAATTCAGTGAAATCTCATGTTGTGCAAAGTGCGTGAGTGCCAATCCAAGGCAACCATTACAGACGACAACTCCCCTAAACACTAAAAGAAAACTTGGCACGACTCCCACAAAAGCTCAATTGACCCTCAAGCAGCCAACACCTCGAAAAGAAGTGCAGATGCAGGTAATGAGCACAGCCAGGTATGGGCTTGCATTCCCTTGTATATGCAACCAAACCTTCACCTGAGAATAGATGAGAATGTGTGGAAAAGTGCAGCACCCCGAGCAGAGTTCGGCAAAGACCCACCGCCGACCGAGGGAAGTGCCACCGTTGGCATGAACAAAACTTTCACCTCCATATCAGACGATGCTTGAGAGTGTGAGTTGTGCAAGCTGTCCGAGTAGTCACCGAGGGCAAGCGAGGAAATGACCGGAAAGTGGGTCACGTGCGAGCCCGAGGCGCTCTGGTACGAGGCTATTTTCACGCTCAACCCTTCAATGGGGCTCGCGGCAGACGAGCCAGCAGGCCTGGCCGCCACCTTGCGGCGCAGGCGCTGAACAAAGCTCCCTGTCAAGGAGGGGTGGGGTAAGGGCGTGCCACATATTAAGGGAAAATGTCAAAGAAAGCAAGAGGGTTGCTCCACCGTTAGAAGTGTCATGCAGTGCTTCAGGAAAGGAATGTAAAATGCCCGCAGGTCACTTCATACTTTAATTGGTATTTCCCTTTGCTTTAAGTTGTCTCGCAGCAAATCATCACTTGACTAGGCAAACAGTATTTTACTTCCTCGGGGACAGTGCTAAACAACTGCTGATATGAACACCAAATAAGGAACTAGGAGCATGATACAGTTAAACCTCAAGTACACACTATTTCACAGACTAGTCACAGACTAGTTATGCTGCAATTATATTGGGCTTTGTTAACCTTGTCATTTCTTAACAATAAAACTGACAGCATATACACATTAAAACAGTTGGGCTCGTGCATTCGTGCATTTCTGACATCATGCCCAGGGTACAATAGGATAATACTGATCTAGGTAGTTGTGCCCGTATGACTAACGTAAAATCATCTATACATTCTTGTTTCGTACTATTTCCCAGTGCTAATGTTCAAGACATTTTAGCTAAAGTGCTCTATGTTTCGTTAATTTAGATTGTACGTTTTTCTGGTTACTATGCCATGTTTTTTTGAACCCCCAGAACTTATGAAGAAGATTCTACAATATGCTGTTGCAAGTCTACTCCCGCGTTGCTATTAATAAGATGGCAAGCAACTACCAACTTGCTCAGTTTACTATTCTTTCACATCCCACAAGTTACCTTTAAAGTTTAGCATGTTGCCTGTCATTGACATTTAATGAAACTGCACAAGACCTGAGCAAGCGACAGGCCAGTAAAATTATGTGGAACATAAGTTGGTAATCTAGTGGAAAACACAACCGGCTGCTAAACTTTCTTATTAAACAACTCTGTGCAAGATCGTTACAGCTAGTCAGAAATTGAGTTGCCAATTCTGGCTGAATGAATGGAATCGCCAGAAACTGCTTTAGAACGGCCCTCATGGTGGCTAGTGCAAGTCCAGACAGCCATTCCTGGGCCTGCTCATGCTTCTTTAGAGCAAATCAGCATTCCCAAACTCCCTTAAGGCATAGGCACGGTGACAGTAGCATGCGAGACCTACAAATGATGGAGGGGTGGTGGGGGTGACATGCCGCGACACCTTTCCCCAAGAGTCATGGAAGCGCTCTAGTTCGGCAAAACGCCAGCTGGCAGGGGCCACAAAAGAAGCCCCCCACAAGCTCTCCCACACAGTAACAGCAGCATCAGCAAGCATTGGTGAAGGACCAGCAAGGACAACACACGTGCAAGCATATGAAAACCCAACCTGCAAATGGCAAGACAAACGACACTGCTCCCGCCTACACGGCACAAGAACGCGCACACACACACAAGCAAGCATACGAAACTTACCCCACGAGTTCACGGTCAGACCAAGGTCCGAGGGCTGCAGATGTTCCGACATGCAGGCATCGTTACAGTTTGGAAAACGGCGCACGGAAAAGAGAAATGCATGTCTAAAAAATAAAACCCGTGTCTCCCAACCCCACCCTACTTCAAAAACATTGCAAAATAAAATCAAAACATAAAAAAAGAATTACGGCATCCATGCAATTCAAAATTTACTGTAGCGCAATGCAGAAGAAAGGCGACATGATACACATCAAGTAGGGTGCAAGTATCTCGCCTTTTTTTCTCGTTGCTTTTCGTCGTTGCTGGCAGACAGTAATGCAGTTGCAGGGGTTCGCACAAGAGCTCACTTCGCGGGGCGCAAGAAAAAAAGAGACGACAACGGTGCGGTCGTTGCGCGGTTGAGAAACAGGCAGTCACTCACAATCCGGCCGTTGACGAAGGAGAAGAGAGCGCCAGAGCCGCTCCCAATGATGTGGTCTCGTTCTCGACACACGAGACCGGATGAGGAGACTAACCACTCCCACAACGAGTGAGAGAGAAAGACCAAACAGGACAAGACAGAGAGAAAGACAGCGCCACGCGCCCCGCGAGGGGGCGCGCGGGGGGGCTTACGTATATAGTATATGCAAAGACGGGGTAGCAATACTCACCAGGGGTCATCATCCTAGCTACAATTCTAGGCCTGACACAGTCAAACGAGAAGTAGCACGCTGTTGTGGCAGTTGGCCTGGTGATTGGGGGAATCGCAACAAGGCGCCACTTAGGCCAAGACGCGAAGGCACACACATTCTGTCTCTCTCGTTTTCCCCAACGCCTCGCTACACCACTTTAAGTGACCCCCTCCCCATTTCCCTAAATGCCCTTCTACCCCTAGAACCCTCGCCATAAACTGTTTCTTCCATATTTCTACCAATAGTTCCACAAGCCATTATACTGAAGGTTAAGCCTCCCATAAAAGAAAGACTATTTGCCCATTAACTCTCGCTAAAAATCGAAGAAAAAAGTAACAAGCTACGGCATGTTAGGTTTCTTGAAATCGGTCAGCAATGAAATATACTGCACCTACATGCAAGCAAAAATTAAATACCAACAACAACGCTTCCCCCTCTTCTTTTTTTTTTTCCCACTTCTGCTCCGAGTTGCTTCAGTTCATGTAGGGCAATCACTAAAACTTAAAACTGAAGAAGTAGGGAAAAAGCTTCTGAGCTATTCAAGGTGTTTTTGAGGAGACAGACAGACAAGCTCAAATTCCTACTTCCCCAATTAAGTGTTGCTGATTACACACAGCTATGCCCAAAGAAAGAGAAAAAGGGTTAATTAAAGAGGCACAGTCTCCCAATGTGCAAGTTCCTTAAGGTCACATGTCCAAGTTAGAGAAGGAAGGTGGCAATGATGTCACAGAGTTCAGTGGGACAGAAAGAATGGCAATGAGATGGGAGCATAGGGTATTTCAGTGGGCTGACAGGCACACAAAAAAAAAAGAGATGGGGTAGGCCGGATGTTCGCGAGGTTGTTACACGGGAAAGGAGGACGGCTAACTGCGTCGCAAAGACGTTAAAAAACGCAACTCAGTGTAAGAGCAGATGCATGTATGGTTCCTTACCTTGTACGTGTCCCGGAATTTGTCGATCTCCCTAGTGATTAGGTTCCGCTTGTCTTCTTCAATGTCCATTTCATCCAGTTCTTGCATCAGACGATGCTGGAATCGGAACAATACATAAAAACACTCGAGCCCGGTTGCGACTGCATGCAGTATTGGGGACGAATAAGTCCCGAATTGCATCGGCACAGTAAAACGACGTCACAGTAGGCCTAAACGCGACAGCATCGTATAGAAGGAAAATTTACACGGGTAAGCTGTGAAACTGCAGTGACCATCACTGCCTCGCAGTGGCCTTTGTGCTCCTTCACACACTTTCATGCACTTGTGATGGGTAAAACAAGCTGAATTCCAGCAGGTAAGGATGAAACACTTTTTGGATGACTCTGAACTGAGAGAGAAATGAAGTGTCACAATCAGTGCAATGACGATCGTCGAACACGATCGTCAGTCGTCAGTAATCTCATGAGTGGCAAAGAGTTCCAGTATGAATTGTACCATTCACGTTGTGTGCACTATTTTACTGGAAGATTCTGAAATAATCTAGAAGGTTCCCAAACATTTGGGTGCTGTTTGCACATGGCAGTGGTTCAGTGATGGAAGTGAGTTTTTACTTTTTGGAGCATGCTTTGGAGCAGGAAAAGTGCTTTGGAGCAGCCAGAAGTGTTTTTGGAGCAGAAAAAAAATGCTAGTTTAAAACAGCTAGTTCTCTAAAAAATGCAGCATTTTGTAAATATTACGGGGGAACACGGGTCTCAAAAGGCCGAAAATCGCAACAAAAAAAAAACGACTTTTTGAAGTTGACATTTTCGGAATCTGCAACTATTTTTGCACTTATCTGAGAAGTTTTAAGCTTCTGGCGTCGTTATTTCTGGCACAAAATCAATTTATAACACACCCGTGAGATGAATCTGAGCACATATTGTCACGGGCTAAGTAGATGCCTGAGGGTGACGACGACAAAGTGCTGAACGGGAACGTGCTCGGACTGCAGCAGCGTCGTACGCATTAGCTCGCCAGTATATTCGCCAGTACGCTTTTGCTCACCAGTGCATACTTTAATCCCCGTAACATCATTGGTGGAAGGTGCGGGGTACCACTCGCTATACAGCCCAACGAGCTGGATCTTCGCAGCCGACGGCGCATTGCAGCTACCACGATGACTGACCAGGCTACTCAATGTCAACAAGATCCATCAGCCCCGCAGCCGATCGTTGTGGTGCAACCTCGTGACCCAGGTCCATTCAACGGCACAAGTGGCATAGACGTCGATGACTGGCTGGTTCAATATGAGCGCGTCAGCAGCAGCAACCATTGGGGTCCGACGCTTATGTTGGCAAACATCATTTTCTACTTGCATGGCACGGCAAAACTCTGGTACGAGACGCATCAAGAAGAGTTGACTAGCTGGGACGTCTGTAAGCAGAAATTGCGCTATCTATTTGGGAAACCCATCGGACGTCAAGTGGCCGCAAAGAAAGATCTTGCGACTCGTGCCCAGACATCCACAGAGCCGTACATCGCGTACATCCAGGACGTGTTGGCTTTGTGCCGCAAGGTCGACAAGGACATGCTCGATGAGGACAAAGTTGGACACATCCTGAAAGGAATTGCGGATGACGCCTTCAATTTTCTCCTGTGCAAGGACTGCTCGACGGTGGAGTCGGTCATCGAAGCATGTCGTCGCTTCGAACAGGCAAAAAGTAGGCGCATAGTTCACCGATTTGACCGCCTTCCCAACACGGCGGCTACGTCCTCTTGCGAAGATTTGCCCACACTACACCAACCACCAGCGCCAGAAAACGTCACCAGAATAGTCCGTAGGGAACTCGAGGCTATGGCTCCCGCTATGTCTAGCGTCAGCGCGCCAGGACACAACCTCGATGCTGTTTCAATGATACAGGCCGTGGTTCGCCAAGAGATCGCGAATATGGGCATTTCGCCACCTCATCAAAATGCCCCTGCTACTTCCAGCTCGGCTCCAGTCATTGCGGCTGCCACTCCGAACCGCACATTCGCGCCATGACGAAACCCAGCTGAATGGCGCACTCATGATGATCGGCCCATACGTTTCACGTGCCATCGGATAGGACACATCGCTCGCCATTGCCGCAGCCGTTGGACCTCATCACCTCGACCAAGCTTCTATGATTGGCGGCCTCGCTCTGAACGTGCACCTTATGCCCCGTCCTACCGTGCTGAGACAGGTGCAGAGCATAATCCAGAACGTCGGACCAGCCGCTCGCCATCGCCCATGCGTCGTCAGTCCCGCTCGCCCCAACCCCGCCGTTCTCGGTCTCCCTACGACCGTCGCTCGGAAAACTAGCCGGTGCAGCCCCCGGAGGTGACGCTGCATACAAGACTCGGACTGCAAATCCTCTGATTACTCCCGACCAGCGGTGCAACCTCCTTACAATTCTCGTTGATGGTTTACCTATAACTGCTCTTATTGATACCGGTGCACAAATATCTGTGATGAGCTCAGACCTCCGCCGCCGCCTCCAAAAAGTTCTGACGCCTGCGATTGCACCTACCGTTCGTACAGCGGATGGGAGTACTCCTGCTGTGCTTGGAATGTGCACTGCGCGATTAACAATTTCTGAGCATCAAACTTCAGTTCTGTTCGCTGTACTGGAAAATTGCCCTCATGACCTCATCCTTGGACTCGACTTTCTGACTTCACACGCTGGGCTCACTGACTGTTACAAAGGTCTTCTTCGGCTCGAACTACCATCCTTTTCTGAGACCGTCTCTACCAGCCCACCTCGTCTACGCTCTGTCGATTTCCTTAGACTTCTGCCGCAAGCCGCAGTCCAAGTCCAACTCTCGCCATATCCTGCAGTACCCGATGGTGATTATGTTGCTGCCCCAATTTCTGATGTCACCATGACACGCAATGTTGCACTCCCCAACACGGTGGTTACCGTTAAGGACAACCGAACTTCGTTTCCAGTCCTCAATTTCGGCCTCTCAGCGCAAGTTATTCCTCGCGGCATGTCACTTGCGCATCTTACACCACTGGTCGACCACACAGTTTCCGCTCTAACCACTGATTCGCCACCCGATTTTTCATCAACGTCGTTCTCGTCACGTTCCTGTTCCGACCTTTTCAAGCCAATGCTATCTGACAAGCTCACCTCTGAACAAGTCTCCGCTTTCTGCCGTGTGCTTGCTTCTTATCAGGACATCTTTGACTTCGGCGACCGTAATTTGGGCCATACATCCGTGGTAACCCATCGCATCGACACCGGTGACGCTCGACCCATTCGCCGACGACCCTACCGTATGTCGGCCCCGGAGCGTGCTATTATACAGCGTGAAGTCGATAAAATGCTTGATAAGGGCATAATCAAACCCTCATCTAGTCCCTGGTCCTCACCCGTTGTACTTGTTAAAAAGAAGGACAATAGCTGGAGATTCTGTGTTGATTACCGCCATCTCAACCATATTACCAAGAAAGATGTATATCCCCTACCGCGCATAGATGATACACTCGATTGCTTGCACGGTGCCAAATATTTCTCTTCAGTAGACCTTTGCTCAGGCTACTGGCAGATCGCTGTGGACGACAAAGACAGAGAGAAGACGGCCTTCGTGACTCCTGATGGACTTTATCAGTTCAAGATGATGCCTTTTGGATTATGCAATGCCCCCGCGACATTTGAGCGCATGATGGACTCTCTCCTTCGAGGTATGAAGTGGACCATCTGCCTCTGCTATCTTGACGACGTTATTGTTTTTTCGACTACTTTCGACGACCATCTTACCCGTCTGTCCGCAGTGCTTGATGTTTTTCGACGTGCCAACTTGCAACTTAACTCGTCCAAATGCCGCTTTGGGCAACGCCAAATCTGCGTACTCGGCCATCTTGTTAACGCTGCGGGCGTTCAACCAGACCCTGCGAAAGTCCGAGCAGTTCGCGACTTCCCCACACCCCGCTCAGCCAAGGACGTCCGAAGTTTTTTGGGACTGTGCTCCTATTTCCGTCGTTTTGTCGAGAAGTTTGCTGAGGTAGCCCGTCCTCTAACCTGCCTCCTCAAAACGGATGTCGCATTCACCTGGGGCCAACAGCAAGCAAACGCCTTCCCGTCGCTCGTTGACATTCTCACCAATCCACCAGTCCTAGCACACTTCGACCCATCTGCCGCCACGGAGCTTCGTACTGACGCCAGTGGCCACGGCATAGGCGCAGTGCTCGCGCAGCGGCAACAAGGTATGCACCGCGTCGTCGCGTATGCAAGCCGACTGTTGTCGCGCTCGGAACAAAATTATTCCATCACAGAACGCGAGTGCTTAGCTCTCGTCTGGGCCATTGCGAAATTCCGACCGTACCTGTATGGCCGACCATTCTCGGTTATTACCGACCACCACGCGCTTTGCTGGCTCTCCTCACTCAAGGACCCTACGGGACGCCTTGGTCGCTGGGCGCTGCGCTTACAAGAGTACACTTTTTCCGTATCCTATAAATCCGGACAACTTCACAAGGATGCCGACTGCTTGTCCCGTTACCCAGTCGATCCCCCTGACACGAGGGAAGATGAGCAAGAGGTCCTCGTTCTTTCAATTACCGACTTCACCGACATAGCTGCTGAACAACGCCGCGACCTCTCTTTGCGTGCTATTATCAATGGTCTGCACTCTCCCCACCCTGACCACTCCTTACAACTGTTCGTTCTTCACAACGACATCTTGCACCGCTACAACACCCGCCCTGATGGTGCTGAGCTTTTACTCGTTGTTCCTGTGCATCTTCGCTCAGACGTTTTGGCCCAGCTGCATGATGCCCCCTCCGCTGGACACCCAGGGGTGTCACGCACGTATGACCGCATTCGCCGCCGATTCTTTTGGCCTGGCCTCTACCGTTCTGTGCGTCAGTACATTGCAGCATGCGACCTCTGCCAGCGCCGCAAGACACCTGCTCTGAGACCTGCTGGTACCCTCCAGCCCATTGAAGTACCAGATGAGCCATTTTTCCGAGTCGGCCTCGATCTTCTAGGACCCTTTCCCGTGTCGGCCACCGGTAATAAGTGGATTGCTATTGCTACCGACTACGCAACGCGGTATGCCGTTACACGCGCCCTCCCCACCAGCTGCGCTAC